ACATGCAGGTATTCCTGGCTGTTGAATAACAGCTTCTAATTGGCCAGTTGTTAGGTTTGATTGGCACTCCTTAGAGGTGCATTACTCTGTCATCTGTCATCCCCAATGCCTTAAGCTCTGTCCAGATTATCAAATATTCTTTGAGAAAAAGAAGTATTGATGGCCATATATAGTGATGCTGTGCCTATATATGGTCATGAGATGATGTCATCTGACAATTTTTGTGAAATAAAGTTTGATAGGGTGGACAGGGCTTGACGAACAATTGAGAGTGTGTTGTTTTATTGGTTTTGGGTTTGTTTACTTTGTTAGATACAAGAAGCTATTCCGAGGCAAAACCTATGTCAACACCAGTGTATTTCCAGTAGTTTACTTTCTGAAGGCCGTAGCAACTTTTTCTAAGTTCACAACAATTATTGGGTTAAATCTGAGGAAAGTTGTGGCTAAAAAAGATCCTGTGTTTGAGTGAAAAAGTACTTCTAGGCCCTCAAAACCTTGGGTTCATCATTGCTTTACCAGAGTCATTTTGCATTGATACAGCTGGAGAACACAGGTAGGTACATATTCTCCTATCAAGAAGTATTTTCATTTTTATAATTTAGGGTTTATCTTCTTTGTAAATACAAATAGATCCTAAAGCCAATCACTTGAAGTATTATGAGCAATGCCTTATTTCTGAATTAGGCCTATATATTATACACATTTAAAAAAAAAATTAAATAAGGATAAATAGTTGAAAATATAATAATAATAATAATAATAATAATAATAATAATAATAATAATAATAATAAGCCAAATTTGTTAAGGCAATGATATAGAAAAAAATACATTTTTTATTGATTTTTTTGTGAGGATTTAATTTTTCATGTATTTATGCATTGATTCATTGATCTGACTGGTTAATTGATTGCTTACCTTGGCCCCAACTTATACTGAGGGTGTGAAAATTCTTGGCTGTCTTGTACTGTATAGCATGTATTGGACAGCATCATAGTTTATGAGTACTTAAAAGTAGTATCAGACTTATTCATATTTTGACATCATATTTCCACCAGGTTCTTATCAATTAGAATAAGAATTAGGTTCTTATCAGGTTCTTATCCTGCGCGCCGTGTTATCTTTGGCTGTCCAACTGGTCTTCTCTGGCGCCTCCAACTTTCTGGCCACATTCAGCACTCTGCTTTACATGACCATCGCGGTCTCTGTCTTCATGAGCAGATCCCCAACAGGCACTCATCTAGAATTAGTTACAATGCTGCCCTCATACTGTAGCTTTTATTTCTTGTTTCAAATACTTATTTTTTTAAAGATTAAATAAAAATAAAGATAAAATTTTGTTTTCTTATTTAGCAAATAGTTTTGTCAAAATCCAGACAGAGGAGAAAATAAAAATAAATATTTTTAGTGAATGTCAAATAGGATGGAAATGCTTCAAATTTATATAATTAGAAAGAAATATACAGTACATATCTTATCATCTGAGGGCGTAATAAAAATGAAGTAAATCATCTATTTTTTTCTGAAATTTCCACTTTTTCGTAAAATTTTATTTTTATTTGAAATCATCAATATTTGCAGTAGGCTGGTTTGATTAAACAAGGTACAGTATTTAAACATGTCTGGCCTTTAGTTGAAAGAGTAGTAAATTTTAATAATAATAATAATAATAATAATATTTTAATTATTTGTCCTCATTCTAATGGAAAATTGGAAATTTGGGATGGGGACCAATGGCTGCAGTGCAGTCACCCAATTTAACTACAACATATGAGAGACACGTACAAATACAAACATTGTCCTTTAACCTACTAAACTCTCAATAAATGATGATCGAACAATTTCAACTGGTTTTGAATTGTGTAGTGTGATTTATAGAGTAAAACAATAATACAGTAGGCATTAAAACAAAGTACAGGTACATTGACATCATTTGTACAATTACAAAAACAAGTCTTTAAGATATTTTGCCAACAATACCTTTATCGTATTAGGAGTTTTGTGGTAACGTAATAATAGTAAGTCAAAATTCGCATTAATAATATAGTAAAAAGTACATTTTCTTATTGATTTTTTGTGATGATTATTTACAGTATGCATGTATACATGGTTTATTGATTAACTGACTGAATGATTATTGAGCAATAACACAAACACATTATTTATAAAATTGTTTCTGCTTGTTCTAATGATGTTTTGTAAGCTAATAGTTTATTATTTTCACATTTTCTACTCAATTAAGCACAAACAACCTGTGTTTTGTAGTAAAATTTTGAAATTGTATTTTAATAAATGCACTAGGCAATCGTACTATTTTTTATAAGGGAAAATTGCTGTGTTTAGTTTCAAAGTACAACAGCATTTAACTATGCCTATGTGCCTATATTTTAGGCCTAATTGCCAAACATTACTCACCCCAATAGGTTGTCAATGAAACATATATACAAATAAATGTTAATGCTTCTTTTTTTGTTACAAGCTTATAGGTATCATTGATCACTTTACTTTCAACACTAGAATGACAAAAAAGAAATAAAAAGGAAAGACCTAGAAAGCTTGAAAAGCAAAGAAAGCCGTAAAACCAGAAATTGATATTAAGCACAGAAAAAAATGTAGAATTTGATGTCTTCCCAAATTCATATCTTGTTATATCATGTAGTATATCGAGTATTGATTTTTTGTAAATTTATATTTTTAAAATCCTGTACAGCGCCTGCGATCATTTTAATTGGATATTGTTTGTGCTAAATAAAGTTATTTTTAGTAGTAGTAGTAGCCCAAATCACAGGGATCCCCAGCAAAACAAGATGGCCTATGGCAATTCCCCAAGAAAGCAGAAATCTCTTGAAAATTAACCAATCTTAATACGCAAAATCATAATATATACATAATTTAGTAGTAGTAGTAGTAGCCCAGGGGTGCCAAATCTCAAAGAGTCACAGGGATCGCCAGCAAAACAAGATGGCCTATAGCAATTCCCCAAGAAAGCAGAAATCTCCTGAAAGTTAACCTATCTTACGCAAATTCCTAATATTTACATGTTTATACTACAGTACTGTGATTATCAATGGTCTCACGCAAGTCAGCTGCTGATGAGTATCACCATGTGCAGCTAAATAAAGAATATGCATCTTGCAACTGATCAGTAGCCTCATGTATCATACATCTTGCTACTGACCAGTAGCCTCATGTATTATGCATCTTGCAACTGACCAGTAGCCTCATGTATCATGCATCTTGCAACTGACCAGTAGCCCTCATGTATCATGCATCTTGCAACTGTGACCAGACATGCATCTTGCAACTGACCAGCCTCATGCATCTTGCAACTGACCAGTAGCCTCATGTATTATGCATCTTACAACTGACCAGTAGCCTCATGTATCATGCATCTTGCAACTGACCAGACATGCATCTTGCAACTGACCAGTAGCCTCATGTATCATGATGCAACTGACCATGCAGATGCAAATATGGTTGAGTAACATAGACCTGAGAATTGACTGTTCTATTATTTTTTAGGGGTATTCTAGCTTAAGTACCGTCACTAGTTTTGTTGAGGTATAGACTGCTGGTTTGTGTAGTCTACGCTTTTTCTTTATACTTCGTCTAGGATGATGGTCTTCAGGACAGACTCTACCTGTGTCTTTACTACACCATAACTGACATAATAAAAAAAAATGCATGCAGTTCAAAAGCATGTCTAAAAACGAATGTTAAGTACTGTGTACTTCAGTAAAAATCTTACTGTGGCAAAAATAGCCATAATAAATACCCAGAACAGCAGCACACATCATTCTCAGAATGTTTGACCTTTCACTACAATGAAAATGCTATTACAACTATTATCGAGCAAACATTGCGACAGTCTGTCAACGAATCTATTTCCGCTCTCTGACTGCTGACTGTCTGTGCCAGTTTGAGAAGGATAAGATTTTTAAAAAAAACCATTTATTTGACGCACCTCCTCACGCTGGCCGATGACTATCAGTGCAGTGTGTGCCACCTTAATGTATTTCTGTATGGTGTAAAAAATTAAACAAAACTGTAAATTGTAGTGTCAATATTGGTAATCTGTACTACTGTATGTCTATACAAAAAATTAGTAATTCAACAGAAATAGCACTTGCTGTGGTTCTCATGTGTGGTTGAAATATACTGTACTGTGGTTGAAATATACTGTACTGTGGTTGAAATATACTGTACTGTGGTTGAAATATACTGTAGTCAAAATGTTCTGCAGTCAAAATAGATTCAGACCATGGCAACTTAATAATTTTCTCACTTAATATTCAGTTTGCGGATTTATCAAGATTTTTTGGCAACTTATTAAAGTAGAACCCCTGTTATGGGGACACCTTTGGGACCAGAAAAAGTGTCCCCTTAATAGGGGTGTCCCCTTAATATTGGTATCACTTCATGAGACACAAACCAAAAACCAAAATTGTCCCCTTAATAGGAGTTTTTGGCATGTTTTCATACAACCATAACATATCATTCTGTATAATTTTATTTTTATTGACATAAGGAATCAGCTAAGTGGAATTAGAACTAATTTATAGCAACAATTTGCAGTGCAATGCACATACAATTAATTTTATAATATGAAATCAGCACAAATATTAAAACAATAGTTTTATATGTTGTTTGGTGCAGCGGGAACAGTATGGTTTTATGTAAATGTAGCCTTGGGATTTTTTAACAGTGATGATAAATTATGTCAAGTTACATATAATTTGTTTAACAAATAATATGTAATCCACCTAATTTAGGTTTTCTTTATCTTTTAATGGAAAGGCATAGACTTATTTCCCACTATGTGTCTACCTGTGTTGTTGTTATGTGAAATCCTTAAAACATAGCAGAGATTCACTGAAAAATTGTCAAAAGTAGAAAGATTGATTGTTATTTAATTACATGTCGGTTCACCATAAGTAAGGAGGTCGTCCATTCTTGTACGGTCTGTATATTTTTCTTCTAAGAATTACTATCAAGAAGGCAGTTGAGACAGATTTTATGCCACCAAAATCCTCCTCATAGCCCTCAGCTAGGCAGAAGCCCCAGGGGGGTCAGACACAGGCTTAGCAGTAGAGCCACAAACACACCCGGTAAGTTGATAGTAATCCACAAATTGCACTACTTGCACAGCCCACTGTGGTTGCAATGTGGCCAAACACAGTATTTCACTGATAAAACTTTATTAACTTGATAAAGTAGGTTTTGCACCCAGCCAGGCTGAGACAAAACCCCAAAAGTAGATTCTTATTTTGAATTGAGCATTAAGGATATTATTTTAAAATTACTATTATTATTCTTATTTTTATTTACTTTTTTTAAATAATTGTGTTATATTAATTTTTCCTACTAAACAGAGTTTTTTTTTTTACCCCAAAAGTACATTCTTATATTGAAATGAGCATTGAAAGATATTGTTTTGAAATTACTATTAAGTATTCCTTATTTTTATTATTTTTTTTTTTATCATTGTATTATATTTTTAATTTTTTCAGGAACAGATGTATTCAATTTCCAAAATTTATCATTCATTTTCGTTATTTTTAATTTGTTAAATAGTGTTTGGGAGACAAGGCCTGTATCAATAATTGTGTGAGTGTAGGATATGTGGCCTTTCACACTACCACTGACTTGGTTCACTTAATAGTACTCCCAGCAGCACTAATAGCTAAGAAGTGTTTTAAGGTGATTTCACACACAGCCACATGCTGTAGATGAAAAACCTTTTGATTTTAATCACAGGCAGTGGCGTATGTGTCTAGGGGTGTGCAGAGAAGGGTGTCACACTATTAAAAATGTTTGAAGCAAAAAAAGTCAAGCTGAAGGTATATAAAGATCACCTCATGTCTCCTAATTATTGTGAGCTAGCACCTCCTCACTTAATGATCGAGCACTTCACC